TTTGCTGCCTTGGCTGGGGGGCAAGCAGAGCCATGTGGGTTCAGCTGAGCCTGAAGGGCTATGGGGCCTCCAAAGAGGGTTTTTTTTTTTTTGAGTAACTAAAAAGGTCTGCAGTGTGGTAACATGATGTTACGGGCAGCAGCTCTCTGTGCCTTAGTTGACAGGGGGGAAAGTTCAAGGGTAGTCACAAACCTGATAACGCTGGGGAGCAACTGTGGGGACATTGAGGGCTGGGATGGAGGCTGGCCATGTCCCTTCATTGGGCACAATGATTGGGGTCATGTTGTTTCCCCCATCTTTGTCCTAGGCATCCAGGAGTTTGATGCATCTGGTGCTGGTGTCCCAAGAGCAGCCCTCTAAGTATAACAGAGTGCATGGGGAGCAGGGGGGAGGTATTTTGGTTTCAGCCTGAGCAGCTCAAGAGCTGTACTCTGTTTTTCTGTACCACTAGAGCTCTTGTGCTAAAAGGTATATACCTGAAAAAAAGGTTTTTTTAAAAAATTCCATTTTCCCAGATTACTTCTTATATTAGGAAAAAATTGGGTGGCCCTGTCTACCTTTTTTGGAAAGCCATGAGAGAAATTGACACCATAAAATCTTCACGACTATGCAGCTTCTCTAATTATGAATGCTTCAAACCTTGTTTGTCAGACAGCTGTGCTGGACTTTCCAAGCACTGACATACAGCCACAGCTGCTGCTTTCTCCCCAGGAGCCACCTCTCCCACCAGTCACTACTATCACGGTGGCGGTTTGATGAGCTCTGCCAAGGCTGGCCACTTTAAATCACCAGCTAGTGATAACGAGTGCTCAGCAGGCTGTCCTTGCCCTTTCTGCCTCCTCCTATTCCCCAGCCAGGAATCCTAATTTACTCAGCTGTCTTTAAGCACAGGTCTGATTCGGTATTGTATTTGTCATCCCCAACTTTCTTTATTCAAGTAGAATGGCTGAATATTAACAAACGCAACACTGCACCTGGTGGGGTCCAGCACTGTAGAAATCCCTTTCTGAAGGCTGGAGTTGGGCTCTCCTTCTGTATAAATTAAATAAGTTCTTTACAGAGGGAACTGTGCATTTCCTTGTCAATCACTGCCTTCTGCCAAGTGCTCAGCTTTGATTCCGGATCTGTTCACCATCAGCCCTGTCTTCAATTTATTCCGTATAAATTGAGATGCTGTAATTGGACTTTTCCCAGTCTGCACAGCCTTGTCTTAAAGTACCCCAAGTGTCTTATCCAGGCTTCGATTACTCCTCTGACGACTACAGGCATCCTGCTTGTTTGTTTATTAGGCAGCTTCTTATCTCGGTTGTAGTCTTAAGAAACTCTATCATTTCAGTTGCACAGCTCCAGTAATTGGGCTTCCTGCTTTTCTGGTCTGGCTGGTGCTACCTTAGCCTATATAAAGAGAGCAGAAGAAAGAGGTGTAAGAAAGAAAATGTTACCACTGGTAGCAGTCAACAGTATAAGGTAAGAACCCTGGTCATACATGTCGGATGCTGAATCCTCTAAAGCTGGGGTGTTGAGCAGACCAAAAAGATGCCAACACAAAGTCAGAGACCAAAAAGACAAATAAGATAAGATAGATTACCTTTTCACAAAAACTGCTTATTGCTTTTTTTCCATTGTCCACCTGTACCAATTACATATTCACTGGGAAGATACGCTTGACTTGGAGTTGCAGATGTACATCTCAATCTTCATCAAATGGCAACATGCACCTAACAGGCTGCTAAAGTACAAATATTCTGATTTTTCACCTGCAATAATACTTGAAGTTAGAAAAAGATTGAGGATTTATAAATGCCATTTATCACCTGGAGAAGGGAGCCTGACTTGAATGCATTTGAAGGCGCTGCAAATTAGAAATGTTTTAATCATGTATTCCCACTGGTGAGCACACATAACAGCAACAAATATTTATCCAGATGGATGAACGCAAGAATCAGTTTTGGCCTTAAGCTGTCACCGCTCCTAGCCAGTCATGTATTTCACTGGTGGGTCTTACTGACATGCCGTCTTTCTTGCTGAGAACATCGGGGTGTCTCCAGCTGCTTGCCAGCCCCTCCCTCTCTTCACTGGGTTGCTCCTAGTCACTCATCAGGCTGTGCCAAGTACTCCGGCCACCGGAGCTGGTCCATCTGCTAGCCTTTCACAGGGGAACAATTTGGGGCTCTTTTTCTGGAGGTCAGCGGTACTGCCAGGATCTTGTACGACGTGATGCACTACGGGCGCTACAGGAGCTTGACAAAATGTTAAATCAGACACTTGCCTGGCACCTTTTTAATTATTCAATAGGACAGTGCAGGGTACTGCCTGCCAGTGCTGCTGCTCATTTAGCCGCCCTTAAAAGTTGTTCAGTCAGGAAGGAATTTTAATAAATTACTGCCGAGCAAGGAGCGTGGGTATAGTGCTGTGTCATAGAACAGGATGTTTTTAAACTAGTTTCAGTCTTTCTGGGTCACAGTTCAGCTTCTTTCCTTTGAACTCCTGTAGGGGAATTCAATCTACGCTCAGTGTTAAGGGGTTTTGTTTTTTCCCCCTTTGGCAGAGCCTTGAATGCCTCCATTTTTCAAATAGAGAGGCTGATCCCCTAACACACATGAGGAAGCTGCCTCATAGGCATGGCACGGATCAGCAGGGGAAACTCGCCTTTATGCGCAGGGTCTGAGACCCAAAAAGCGTGACTTGCGTACTTAGCCTCCATCCTCTTGACAAGTAACTGGTTTCTGTAGTAAGATGAACTCTAGCCGATATCATTTTAAGGCTAAATCTTGAAAAACTCTGGAAGAAGGCAGACGAAGTTCAGTTGTTAAAAATGCAATGGGGTATTATGGAAGGGCTTTCTGAGGTTGACGAGCTTATTGGCAGCAAAACTGCATCAGGGCTAAGTTGTCAGAGCAATTGCAGCACAAGTTTTTGGTGCCTGCTTTCCAGATGCAAAAAATGCACGTGCGCTAGCAAGCTTTTTCAGGCCCAGAAAACTGAGCACTTAAAATTGGCTGAGTTATGTAGTTATGGTTAAACTATACAGGCACAAAATGTTTCCTTCAACTGATTCTTCACTCAAAGAGTAGGGACCCTCGGTGCCTGTTGAGCTTTCTTGCTTGAGAGCCAGAGGATACTTTGTCTGTGAAAGGTGATGCTAGAGGTGCCCTACCCAGCCTTTCTCCCTGCTCCAAAGCAAGAGCGTTAGCCTTGACAATGCAAACTAGTAGCTTTAAAACAAAGAAACAAACAAACAAAAAACCCCATCAGCTGCATAATTCAGAACCCTCTCCATTACTGACGCCTCTATAATGTATCTCAGGAAAGACTGGCAGGGCACGGGGTCTCAAACTCCTGAAAACCAAGTGGGCTGGGAAAAACCCTGGTGCTGCTGGCCTGAGGTGATGGCTGTTTGCATGTGGCAGCAGGACCTGTGCCAAACTGCTCCTGCAGCAGCAGCTTGTCCTCAGTGCCCTAGCGCGCAGGGCAGCAGCCCTGCTTCTTAGCCTTTCTCTGGGTTTACTGCTTTGCACATGAAATTAATAAGATTTGTCATAAAAAATATGCACATTGACCATCTGTGTTAATAATTGACTTAACGAGGATCTAACTGCCTCTAGCCCATCCCAGAGAAGTTAATTGAGGGGATTGTGTTTATAATCTGCCTTGAGAGTCCTAATCTTCTGTTCTGGCACTGCCAAGCCACGGATTGATTGATTGATTTTAGTCTCTTAGAGCAAAATAACAACCTCCTGAGAGAGACCTTGGCAGTTTCCCAAAGAGAAAGTACACGGCATGGAGAACCAGGAAAAAAATATTGGCTCCTTCATGGTCCTTGAATGCAGGCTGCTAAATCCTGCTTCCTAGAAAATGCGAACCAGTAAATGTTGAGCTCTTAGGTACGCTCCAGGTCCTTTGAAAAAGTTGTTGTTGTTGTTAGTAGGGAACTTGTGTCCTTTTGTATGGACTACGGATGGCGAAGCTTTCTCTGAGAATTGGTGTGAGGGGTTTAAATAACAAAATAAAACAGGAGGTCATCCCTGCCTTTTGAGAGGTGGCGGGAGGGGTCTTACAGAAGTAACTCTCTCCTAGGTCTGGGGACCTCCTCGCCAGAGGAACCGCCCAACTACTTGAGCTACTGCGTGAGGAGCAGGTCAGGGGTTGGCAAAACATGATTCTGGTGAGAGAAGGAAAAGTCACCCATAGAGAAAGACTGCTGGAAACTGTCGCTGCAACTGAAAAATGGAAAATTGCAGGAAAACATGCTGGAGAGCCTGTCAGGAGATCTAATTCTTCATTTTGTACCAAAGCAATATTAACTGCACCTAAGCTATTTTTTGGTTAATAATTTTTATAGATAATAATTCTAAGCATAAGATAGCTAATACACTTGCTCTGGTCAATATTTTGTCCGTTTTGAAAAAGCAGATCACTTCCCTGAAAAAATCCTAGTTATTTCCTATGGGCAACTAGTGTACGATGTAGGAGCCAATCCCATAAAACTGGGCATGTAATTTTTCTGTTCAGGAAAAGCGGGCAATCCTCCCTAGGATTCAAAGAAATGCATTTATTGCACCCAGTGTTTTCAGACACAGGCAGCGTCCACATTGGTATAATAAAACATTTCTTCTGGGTAAACATGCCACATCCATAGACTGTTTTTTGTTTCATATATGGGTTCTTAAATGTTTCTACTGTTCAAACCACTGAACTATATATGAATTTTCTTTGAATTTACATTTCTTTCATTATCCGCCTTGCCCTCTTCAGCTTCCTGGGAACCAAAGCCAGTGCAAAGCAGGAAGCCTGCCAAGGAAGTCCAATATCTGAGGGTGATATGAGATTACAGCCCAAATCTAATAAGGATAGATTAGTTTTATTTCCCATTTAGCCACAAGCATTGCTGATAGAACAAGATATTAAATCAGACTTCTAAAATTGTACCTGTACTCTGAGCAGCTGGTCAGCTGTACTGATCCCCAGCCCTGGTACTTTCTCTTGCATCCTGAAAGACCATGGCCAAGACCTTCCAGAAGTACTGCAAGCCAAATGCATCTCTGGCATATTCAGGTAAATCCCTGAAATGAGCCTGAAATTATTTTGATCCAGCCTCCTGCACACAGATCTATGGTGTTTCTAAACTTGTTTTTTTGTGCAGCTCTGCAGTGGGCTTTTTTTCCTTCTTGACAAGCTCTGTGTTGTACGGTAGCATCTGTTAGAGAAATACACCATGTGAGTCAGTGTAATTTTAAAGGGAGAAAGGATGACTGGTAATGGCTGCGGCTGCCTTAGTTTGCATGATGTTTGCTGCTTCAGCTGCTGTGCAGCTGAGCAGGGGGTAGGGGAGGGAAGTGTCCTCTGGAGAGTCTGATTCCCAACGAGCCAACTTGGTTCAGTTCTGAAATGAGAGGTTTTTCCTTATTTGCAATTAAAATGTCAAATAACATTAGAAGTATTTGATTTGTGCTCAGTCACAGTGCAATTCTCCAGCTTACTGACTTTAAGGAAAGTCTTGTAAGATGCTTCTTTTTTTTAATCTAATTACAGTAACAGACTGAAATTAATTTACTGAATCATTGATTTTCCAAGGGGCAGAAGGTGGCTTCAGTCTTTTGGGAAACAAGACTTGGGGAACACAAACAGCTTCCCTTGTCTACACAGTGGTGCTCTTTTTGGGACACACAGTCTGGAAGTGCCCAGGTGCCACCCATCAACTTGGGCAGTGCTCTGGTAAGGCCCTTAAACCCACTGAGCTGCTGCATATTCATTTTGAAAATGGAAGCAATCATGCAAAATAGAAGTTAACTGCTCTGGTAGAGGTCTCAAATTATTTCATTGCCATTAGCAGCAGTGCTAAGCTTAATCAGCTGTGGAGAAGTTAAAGCATAATCTCATTTCAGGTGGGAGGGAAAGTGGTGTTCAGCTGAGTGGTACCGGTGGGTTGGTAGGTCAGGAGCAGGTTCCCAGGAGCGGGTAGGTCACGCATCAGTTACTGGGATGGAAATGCTATCTAGGACAAGGGGTCAAACTGGGAGGAGGTGACAACCAGCCTACTCTTGGTTCACAACCAAAACTCCAGGCCAGGTGACACTTGGGAATGATTTTCATGACATGATTGCCCCTCCCTATACTTTGGACAATAAACATGTGATCAGTGACTCTCTTAAATCCCCACTAGTTGGGATACCGTGTTTCACTGAAACAAGGAGAAGCAGTGCAGGCCCTTCCTAGTGTTGTTTCAGGAGGTGACAGACTCAGCTAGAAACTGAACATCTATTTTTACAGGGGCAGTGACCCTTACAAACCAACCAAAAGCTAGAAATCTTTCTTAATTTTAGTGGTGGTTGAAGCTTTAGGAACTCACACTGAATGCTGAGAGAAGTGTTATCTGTTGAAAACTATCTTAATTCCCTAGCCTTTTCTTCAGCTACTTGGCCAAGAGTGCCCTGGAAGGAGATGGGTGTGCAGTGCACATTGCTGCGCTAACAAGTCCTTGCAGGCTCTTTAGGGCAGGTTCACATTATGCCTTGGAGCATGGAATGAACCAAAAGGATTCACATCTGAAGTAGCTAAATGTTACTCTGGTTGTGGTCTGGAAAATATCATTATGCAGAAATATCCGAGAAGTTTCCTATTCTCTGTTTTATCTTCCAGCTACTCCTGTGCTGTATTCATCCTATCTAACTGCAGGCTGTTAACACTATTGAGATACCCAGATTTAGGAATGCACTTGCCCTACACTGCCCTTGTATAAGGTGCACTCAGCTCTGAATTGCCTTCTGGAGATGACCCCCCTCTTTCCGGGATGTGGGTGAGGTGTCCTGCTCTGCAAGGCTCCAAGCTAAAGCACCTTGGGAGCCCAAACGCGGGCTCCACCAACATACAGTTTCTTCTCTGCAGAGTCAGGCTCAACATTAAAAACAACCTCTGCTTTGCTTTTCTCATTTGTACTTCACCACCTTTCCTAAAGAGACATGGAGTTAGGATGTAGTGGACAATTTTATAGATGATAGATGTGATGGGAGAGATATCTCGCTTCCCTGTGGTTGCTTCTGACAGGCTGATAGCATGAGAGCTATTTATAGGGCTACAAAGATACTGCGTGCAAACAAACTCATTAATGTCTGATGTTTCCAAAGTATTCTGTCAAAAAAGCAAAAAACAAGTTATGATTCTCAATGTCACTGTAACTGGGCCTTTTATTGCTGTAAAATATTTGATTTTTTTTTATAATGAAAAGGCAGCTGCTGCCCTCAGATTGTCACTGCTACTGTATCTGAAGTTAACTTTCACACCTTTCATCTTTTCTGTTTGAAGTGTTTCTTCAGTGGTGAATTCTAACCAGACTGCTGTGTTGAGCTCTGGCCAGGCGGCTGTGTGTCTGTGAGATGGTATTTGCATACAATAGTATGGAGGAATTTAAATTAATCAGGGAACAAAATCCATTAGAGACGGTCTGCACAGTAAAATGAGCTGTACAACCCATCTAGGTTTACAGCACTTTGGATGTGAACCTAAGCTTTTCATTTCTGATCGAGTGGCCTGTTGCTTGTCTTGATAACTTCCTCTTTCATGCAGACCCCAAGATAAAGCCCCACAAGCTGTGTTTATGAAAAGCCCTTTCTCAAGCAGAGTCCTGTTCTCTCTTCCTGGTGTGATTCATGAAAGCTGCTCCAAGCATCGTCTCTGAAGCTCCTGCCAAAGTGACCAGGGGATGACATGGCCTTTCTGGGAAGCTTCATTGGAAACCTCAGCCTTGTAGTCCAACATGAGCAGATGTTTCCCAGCACTGGTAGTGGGTTACCCTTTCCTAACAAATGCCTTTTTAAAGCTATGGGTGCCATTACATTTCATTACACAGTTATTAACCTAGTTAGAAACACTTTCTTACAAAATGTGGAGGATGAGATGTACAAGTGAAAAGCCTTAGCTGATGTTGTGCAAAACAGGGGGAAAGCATGATTTGTGCTGTAGCTGGAAAAGAGAGCAACCAAAGAAAGCAGGGCTGGTCTCACATGTGCCTTCCATTTCATTTTGAAAATAATGACTCTGTAAAGTCTTTAATTTTTTTGGAAATGTCTGGCTGGCTTTCACACAGTGGTTTTTCATTGGTGTATAGTTGTTGGGTCAATGTGTTTTATATTTGTTTTGTTAGTTGGTTGCGCTTTTTATACTCTGCTTTTTCAGTAACTTGCACTTAGCACAATGTAATTTTCAACAGCTTACACTGACAGATCATTGCTGATCAGAAATGGCATTAAATGGGAGCAGAGGACCACAGGGACCTGTGGTTGGAATGGTAGAGAAGGTGAGGGAACTGATTCTCTTCAATTTATCCCCAAACATACGCTCTCTTTCTCTGAAACATAACCTATAAGTTAGGCCTTCTAATTAGAAAAACTACTGCCAGCTTTTGCAGTCCCTTTCTTATATCACAGAAATGGAGAGTCAGAGATGTGCACGCAGAGGAACCCAGCCCTAGATCACTCCCTGTGATCCTCCTGCTTTCCCAAAAGGCACCCTGTTGCCTTATCTGAAAGGCTTTGTAAACACGGAGTGGTCACGAAGAGATTTTTCCCACAGACAGCAAGAAGAGAGGATTTAAGGGCTGTAGTCCTTGCCTGTCCATTCATTTTGATTTGTAGTCTTGGGCGAGGCTGCTTAAAAGCAAGTTCCCTGTTTACAAAGTGAAGAAAGCAATATTTACCAGTGGGATGAGCAGAAGGCATAAAGAGCTGTCTTGGATTTGGCCCCAAAATGTCTGCAGGACTTAAATGGCAAATGAAACGTTTGTATAAAGGACCATCTTGAATTTTGCTGGTGTTGGCACTGGGAGCGGCGGCGGGGCTGGGGGAGGGAAAGG